TTTTTAATTGTGTTTCTAAATTCAAACAAACTACAATAATTTTATTGATAAATTTCATAAAATGGCATTCTTTAAGAATGTTCACATAATGATAGTTTTTTAATGTATTTACTTTTTAGGCAGGACCAATGTATGAGAGTGTCNTCCAATTTCTTTTATGTCATTTATATTTTTACTACATATCAAGAAGACATAAATGAATATCAAAATCTATATTAGATTTGAATTAATATTATTGGAACGATGAGCATTTATTTTATACTTTATTTAAAGGTATGAAGTCCATTTGTTTGCCTCTTTACCAGTTTGGAAAAATAGATAAAAAGAATTGCTTTTTAAATTTACTATAAATTTTGATCCTTAGTATGTGAAGAGTTGTGGGGTAATAAGAATAATAACGTGGAGGGCTACGGGGGCTGGATAGGGGTTGTAGGTGGTCTGAACAAAGTAAAATAAATATCAAATTAACGTTAAAAACGGTCAAATTTCACTTTTTAAGTAGGGGGCTGTGGGGGGTTCATGTGGAATGCCCGTACAAATAGTGTGTGGGTAGTCATTATATAGTTACAAAATTTGACCGTTTTCAACGTAAATTTAATATTTAAATTAGTGAGTGATGTGATTATGTGATTTTGGGTGTGTGTGTGTGTGTGTGTGTTGCTGTGTGTGTGTGTGTGTGTGTGTGTGTGTGTGTATGTGTGTGTGTGTATGCAAAAGTGGGTCTCTGGCCCCCTCCGTACTCCATGCGCTAATTTCCTGCTTATAAATTGGGATTTTTTAAATTGCCATAGGGCCTATGGGAGAAAGAAAGTCTTAAAAGTTAACGTAGTGTTTTAATAGTAAAATAAATAGCCATTCGATTTGTATTTCATCACATAGTTTATATATTTAAAATATTAGTTAAATAAGTTAATTGTAAATATAGTGATGTTTTTTAAGTGTGTGGTGAAATTCGATTGGCTTCTTTGCTTAACGATAGTATCTCTCTCCTACTAGTAAGAGTTCCTCACTCTTAACAAACAATTGATTTCAAATTTTTCCGCTCACACATGCTGAGAACTGCAAAAATTTGTGACTAGAAATAAAAAACATCAATGTCAAAGCGATGTTAAATTACGATTAAATTAATTTATAAAGACTAAATAAAAGTACTCGTAAACGATATAACATTTTAAATCCTACGTATGGATACCCTCTTAAATATACAGTCCAGTCGGTTGACAATAATGTTTCTTTTACTTTATCAATTTATTTTCAACATTTTTCTATTTGTCATAAACTTTTACTTAGTCATACTCTTACTCAACTTATCAGCTACACTATTTTTAGAATTCATTTTTGCTATAATTTTTTTAATTCCATTTACATAATGATGTTGTACTTAAGCATACGTTAAATTTTTTATAAAACTTCCATTTTTAGCTGTAGCAACGGCCCTTGAGTTCCCTTCATACGTATTTACTGATTTTTAAATGCTAAAAATTTTACTTAACAAACTTTCTATCATCAGAATTTCAGTGACTACTTCTCACAACGCTATAATACTCTACCAATCACCTTACTAATATCACACCTATCATTTATTTATTTATTTATTTATTTATTTGCCTCACCTCTGTAAAAANTTTTTTCTTTTTTTTTTTTTTTTTTTTTGGAGGAGCGAGGAGGGGAAAATCTTCAGAGACACCCCGGCTATTCCGGCGGTAGTGTCGGCTTCACCCAGTGTGCCTACCGACTAAAAACTAACCTCCCCGCATGGGACAGGTCCGTAGGACCACTCCCCTAGAAGACAAAAGGGCATAAGAGAAGAGGGAAGAAGAAAAATAACGGAGAATTTCGGAGGCCCGCTCTCAAAGGGATGAGAGTAGGGGCACTTACGCATCTGGGCGAAGCTCGAAAATTGGCTTGCGCTGGAATAGAGTTGGAGGAAATGTAATTTTGTGTAATTGTATATGTGTGTGATGAGTGTGTGTGTGAGTGTTTAAGTGTGTTTGTGTAAGTCCGCTGTGTATTGAGTGAATGGAAGCGTACTTGTGTTTGGTGTAAATGTTGTTAGTGTTTGGGGCCGTAGAGGATACGGCAGGCAGAATGGATGCTCCTGATGGGAGCGTGCGAAAGTTGAAGTCGCGAGTTTCGGCGGATTATGGAGATGCATCCGAAGGAAGCATGGGGGATGGAAGACCTAGAGTATTCTGGGGATCCTCAGGGTTCTGAACGAGAGCGCATGGACGTCTTATAAGGTCAAAGCGACCGGGTTGGATGTTTGCTAGTGCGGCGATGGTGGGGTTTGGGTGGTCCGTAATGGCGGTGCGGATTCTAGTCGCGAGGGCAGGGGCTGCTTGGATTGGAGGGACGATGTTGAACTTCTTACAGATTTGAGTATTCCTGATGTACCACGGAATACCCAGGACCGACCTCAGTATCTTCATGAAAGGGCCTTGGATGTCCTTTAGTCGGTTTTCCTTTGCAGCGCCCCACGTAGGGATCGCGTAGGTGATGATGCTCTTGATGATGGCGTTAAGGGTGCGCAGCTTGGTCTTCTAGGAGGCGGCTTTGTTGAAGAAGGGCTTTAGTTGCACGAAGGCACCATATGCCTTACCGCGGGTGCTGTTGATGTGCCGAACGTACGTGAGTCGACGGTCAAGCGTGACGCCGAGGTACTTGGCGGAGTAGCTCCAGTCGATATCTACTCCGTTAACCCTTGTCTTCTGCAATTTCTTCCTGGAATTTTTCCAGGAGACGAGCATGGCTATAGTCTTTGCCTCATTGACGACCAGTTTCCAAAGACTATACCAGTTGAGTAGAGTGATGATGTGCTCGTTTAGAAGAGTGGTGCACCGAGAGTGTTGTTTTGACGTACAGCTGACCGCGACGTCGTCTGCGTAGACGTACGTGTTGATGTTTTCGCGCTGGGGCAGGTCCTGGCAAAATATGTTAAAAAGCGTGGGTGAAAGTTTGGAGCCTTGGGGGACTCCGGAGGTTATTGGGCGGGGTTCGGAGAGGAAGTCGCCTACTTTAACGCGGATGAATCTGTCCAAGAGATAGGATTTGACGGTGCCGATGAAGTAGTGTGGAAAACCTAACTGTGTAAGCTTGTACAGGAGGCCCTCGTGCCAAACTCTGTCGAAGGCCTGCTGTACATCTAGAAAAGCTATCGTGGTGAAGTTTTTGTGGATGAGGCTATCGGAGAGGTCTTCGGTGACTCTCACAAGCTGGTGAACTGCTGAATGTCTGGCTCTGAAACCGTACTGCACGTCAGGAAGGATGTTGTTTTCCGTGGCGTGCTTGTTTAGGTGGGCAAGGATGACGCTTTCGGTGATTTTACTGGGTGAGGAGAGTAAACTAATGGGTCTGTGGTTCGAGGGGTTGCTGAGAGGTTTTCCCGGCTTCGGGAGGCAGATGACCGTGGCCTCCTTCCACGCGATTGGGAAGTAATGAAGGGGCATCACGGCGTTTGTGATGTTGCAAATCGCCGTGATGAATTTTTGAGGGAGGATTTTCAGAACGCTGTTGGAGATGCCGTATCTGCCAGGGGCTTTCCGGGTTTTTAGGGAGCGAATGATGCATTTGATTTCGAAAGGTGTGCAGAGTTCAAAATCGGGGTTGTCAAGGACTTAATGCTGCACCGTGTGGGTGATTCTCGCGTGTTCTTGAGCTAACTCTTCAGGGCTAAGGTTAGGGGAGCATTGATTTTGCAGCGAATCTGCAAAGATCTCTGCTTTATCTGAATCTAACGAGTAGAGTTTGTTCCCTTGTTGAAGGAGGAGGGAGGGAAGGACGTTTGCTACGGAGTTTTTTAACTACCTTTCAAGCATTTTTTGGGTGGGACTCTGCCTCGACTATGAATTTGTTAAATTCCTTGTTTCGGAATTCAAAGACTTGGGATTTGACTTCCCTTTCAAGGGAGTTAAGGTGAACTTAAAGTTCGGGGGTTCTCCTTTTTTGCCAGAGTCTCTGGACTCTTTTCTTCTCCTTGATGAGGCGCAGGAGGTCGCGGGGGAGTTTAAGTGTATGTTGGGGAGCTGTGGTTGTTATGGTGGCTTCTTGTGTGCATCTGTTGAGTTCGTCAGTGAGTTCGTCTACTGCTATGTCGAGTTCCGTTGGGGACCTAATGGGGCAACATTTGAATGGAGAGTATTCGAGGTTATACGCAAGGTGGACCCAGTCTATGCGGCTGGTGGTGACGGGTATGGTGAGAAGGGATCTAGGGATATCTAGGTAGACTGGGTTATGGTTACAGGGGAGGTCAAGAGAGGTTCTTGGTTCCGTTGGGATGGTCAGGTTTTTCGTTAGGAATATGTCTAGAATGTCGGGGTCCTGGTCTGAGGAGCTTGAATAGTGAGTTGGTTCGCTCGGAACCTCAATATTGATGTTGAGTTTACGCAAGTGTTTGAGAAGGGAGCGTCCTTTGGGATTCCCGTGTTTGCACCCCCACGATTTGTGCTTGGTGTTCAAGTCGCCAGCCACGATCGTGGGGATGTTGGAGTCAAACAGCGAGTTTATGCATTGGAGGGTAGGATCAACCGTGGGAGAGGAATAGAGGCAGATGATTCTAATGGAAGAGGATGTAGTGGTATATACTTCGACTCCAATTGCTTCGCAGTTGACAGCGTCCGTACTGATGACTCGATGGCGGATGCCCTTGCGGACAAGAATAGCCACTCCGCCACGTGATTGGTCGCGTCTGTCTCTTCTGTGGACTGTGTAATTGTGTATGTAAAGTGACTTTGTGTTGTCTAGATGTGTCTCGGTTATGCATGCAACGTCTATGTTTCTGGTCTGAAGTACGTGTACAAGTTCAGTCGTTTTGTGTGTAATGCTGTTCGCGTTCCAGTTGAGTAGTGTGAAGTCTTTATCTATCGTGCTACTGTTCTGTTTCCCTCTAGTCCGCACACCCTTTGGTCGAGGCGTGTCAGCAGAGTCGTTATGGAGTGGAGGATGGTCTCGGTTGTGGGGGGTGTGTTGAGCAGAGGAGTTTGGAGTTGTGCTCTGGTCTGCTGTTAAGAGGATGCTGCGTTCGCGTAAGACATCCCCGGGCGGGTGGTGGACGAGCCATGGGCTGTTGAACGGAGGTTGGGTTTCACAAAAGGGGGAGGAGGTGGAGTGCCTTTTTTGGGGGCATGGGCTCCTTTGTGAGGAATTTCGGGGCAACCCCGGTAGAAGGCGCGGTGCTCACCGTTGCAGTTTGCGCAGCGAGGGGTAGCTTGGGTGGTGTCCTTTTTTGGACACGTTGCGGTGGCGTGGTTTGCGCTGCAGAAACCACAGACAAAGGCAGCGCGGCAGTAGGAAACCGTGTGGTTAAATTTCTGGCAGCGACGGCATTGGGGGATGTCGTTGGACTTTCGCTTCTCTTCCACTCGGACGGAAGTGCCCCCGAGTGACCTGAGGTTGTCGATGGCACGGGAGTTTGGGTCCGAAGCGTCAAGGTACACGGTGACCAAGGACCAGGTTCGGTCACCCTTTGTCATGCGGTAGACGCGATGGGCGGAGGGTACTTTGTCCTGGATCATTAACTCCACGGATGACGACCACCATTTCACGGTCCTCGTAGAGCGTGTGTGTGGTGAACTCGACCTTTTTCTCGTCAAGGTCGTGGACGATACGACGGAAGCTTTCGACGTCATCGGGGTACACGCGAGTACCCTGGGATGTGGTAATGACGCGGTGGACAGGGATTTTCTCCTCGATGAGGGCTTTGTTGATTTTGGGCCAGAGTCTTTGGTCCAAGATCGTGATGGGAGGTGGGGCCTTGTTTTGGGGATATTAGCAGTCCCCTGCGATTCCAGCTGCGCTGGGTCCTCGAGGTGACCGTCGAACGCGTTTTTCCCTGCTTGGGAGGAGCTTGGTGGAGGTTGGGGTTCGCAAGACTCTTCAAACACCAAATCGGAGAGTTCGAAACTAGAGAGTGACACGTTGGTAACTTGTTTTGTACGCCTTCTCTTTGCGGCGGGTTTCTTGACGGTCGAATTTGTGGAGGCATTTTCCACTAGCCTAGGGCTGGGCATAGGAGAGGACTGCTTTGTTCCTGAAGTGGAGGGATTTAGCAGGTTTAATGGATCGCGGTTTGCGGGTGACGGAGAGATGACATCCGGAACTTTCACCGGGGTGTTTCCCGCTGCGCGGGGGGACTTAACATAAATAGCGGCGAGAATATTGTCTTTCTCCTCGTTGGATTGGACAAGTTTAGCAATTTGATGGTTGGATTTTTCCAGCTGGATAGAGTACTCACTCGCAATCTTTTCCAGGTACTCGTTCCGCTGCCGGAGTTCGGCGAGTTCGGCTGTGATTTTGGCCAGTGTATCGCCAAGGGAGAGTGGGCTGTGTTCTCGTTGATTGATTTGTCGGTTGACGCAGGGGTCTCTTCCATTTGGCTCGAGGGATTGCAGATCTGCTGGCCGGCTTTCAGTCATGCTGGGAATCGGAGGGAAATGGAGGGCACTGTTGACACTCGCACTAGCACTGACACTTGCACTATGGAGCGCGGGCAATTCGAAAGATGAGTCTGTTTCGGATAACAGCACATCAAAAGAGTTGGTCATATTGACCTTGGGTTGTGGACTAGCCACCGCAAAATTTGTTTGACTATACCCTTGAGAAGGGCAAGCCATACGGGCCACCCCTGAGGGCGGCGTGTACGCGGGTGTAGAATTTAGCGGGTGTATAGCAGTCGCATGGAGCGACTAAGTCGCGTTTACGGAAAGAGAAATAGGTAGCCCTGAAAAGGGCCGTTAAGAGAGAACTCAAGTCTGAGTAAGAGCGATGCGTAACGGGCGTGTGCAGAAAGCGTGCGTTCGGTACGAGCGCTCGAACAAGACTGATACCTATCATTCCATGGATACAGTGAGAATATGTCTGGTAAAACACCTTGTCAGTTAAGCTAGCACTCTCTTCACTAATAGTACATCGGAGTCCACTCGTCACTGTGTAGCCTTTCTCCAGAGAAAACTCCATATTTCAAGACGTTCACTCCTTGACGGCTAAGCCTTTTGCATGCACCCATGTCAAAATACCTGTGGGGCAAGAAAAATACTCTGCATCTAGTCTGAAAAAATTTCCACAGAAAATCCCGCCCTAAGCAGCTAGAATTTCATAAAAAAATTTTCCAACAAAAACAGTTTTCAAAAAAAATTTGCATTCTCAAACCAACACTACTCCTGTAGTATTATTTTTAATAAAATGAGCTCTAAGTCGAGCAAGTATCGGCAATTAGCAACCCAACTGTTTATTTTTAGTAAAGTTAACTATCAAAATATATTCCTAGGCCATGCGTTTTATGTTAACGAGTTTGAAATCGACTATAATAGTTCATACTGTATCTTATATCCGATCTAGTTTCTGCACTTTTATAAAGAAGTTTTCAAATTTAATTTTTGTTCTTTGCAACAATCGATTTTTTTAATTTTTCAATTTGTCTCCCTCAGAGTATCATAGAATCTTACGGTTTTTAAGTAATATTTAATAGCTAATGATTTATTGTATTTTTTTTTGTTTTAGTTTCATGACAAGTTTTTCATTTTTGTAATATATTCAATTACCAATATAGTTTTAACTTTTCCTAAGTCTTTCGTTATAAATTTTTTTATGAGTTTTGTTCCAATTTCTTTTATGTCATTTATATTTTTACTACATATCAAGAAGACATAAATGAATATCAAAATCTATATTAGATTTGAATTAATATTATTGGTTAACAAACAATAATCCTTATTACTTTCAACAAAATTTTGATCCTGAGAATCTATGCCTCAAAAAAATACCTAAACTTATAGTAAAAAATATGAACATTGCCAAAGATAAACAAAACTTGAGTATAAAAAATGATATCAAAGAGGTACTTACTAATGCTAATAGCATACAATCAAAAAACATGACGTCAAAAAAAAAAGAATTAGTCGTAGACTGCATAAATTGTGAACGTGGTAATGAAAAGGCTAAGAAATTGTTGAAGCAATCTTTCAATAATAAATATGAATTTAGAACTGAGCAGTTGAAAAATCCTACAAACTAAATAAGAGTCAAAGAAGATTAAACGGATGTGGACAAAAAAGTATTAAAACGGAGATTAACAAAAGGAATTTTTATCAACAATCAAGGAAAAGGTATTGATGTATACAAAATCAAAGATGAGAACATAACCACTGTAATTTTAGACGTAAGCTGAAATGTCTAGACAGGTAAGAGAAAATAAAAATACAATTCTAGGTGGATATAAAAGCTGAAAAATGTATGATGAAACGAATGTGAAACTAACGTGTTAGGTTTGAACACGATGAATATAAATGCAATAATAATATTCCATGTCTCGAATGTTTAGAGAATCACAAGGTATTAAAATGCAAAAGTTCAATCATAAAATGCCCTAATGATTGTAACAGTAATCATTGTTATAATACATCGTAAAATACAAATTATCAAATGTAGGATTCCACAAAATGTAAAATACTACAAAAAAAAAAAAAAAAAAAAAAAAAAAAAAAAAAAAAAAATTGTCAGCACAATTGACCACCCGATAACACCTATAATATTTACACTAACTAAAACAGAAAAATTATAAGATGAACGATCTATATATCAACGGAGTAATATAAATAGATCAGCTATTACACACATGCTGAAAACCTAATGATAATAACAAAATTGGAATTTTCACAATGTACAAATGTCATGATTTTTTAACTACTAAATTCATATCAAATTTAAAAAAAAATTGGGAGAACAAATATTCTAAAAATCATTTCTTTATTGGACATTTTAATATAAACATTAAGAAAAGCTTATAAACTGACAGAAGATTTTCCTAACAGCTTGATAAAAAGTGGGTATTATCCATGTTTTACTATTACAACTAGTCTATCAAATGATAACGGCTCGTTCATTCATAATATTTTTGTAAAAACTGTTACTACGAAAGCAACACCTTTTAAATCAGAGATTTGTTAAAATAAACAAAGCTTGCAATAGTATATTAATAAACTATGCATCTTATTTTAATTTTAATTAGCTTAATTTTACAGCTGAAGCTAGTTATCGAAATGTAGTACTATCCATGGATGAGCTAAACACAGCAATCAATACTCTTAGTAAACAAGTGCAATATTGTATAGATAATATAAAGTGTAAAGTGAATATATATGGGGCTCATACTGTATAATACCAAGTATCATGTGCACAGTATAATACCAAGGAAAACATTGTTTTCTCTAACAACAATTACACCTAAAAAATAAAACGTCATGTTTGACAATAGAGTAGAAAACAAGGGAGATAATGTACAGTTAAAGATAGAATACCATTATTATGTTATAGTCTTCAAAAAAGCAAAAAAATAGCAAAAATATATATTTGATTTATATATTACATAATCAACAAAGCCTAATGCCTTCAAAGAAGTTAAAGTAATACCTATTTACAAATCTAAAAGCAAACAAGAAATTAAAAATTATAGACCAACTTTACTTACATCAAACTTTGCAAAAATATTTAAAAAATTATGACATTACAGACATTTAGCATTTTTAATTTAAAACAAAATTTTAGCTTAAAACCAGTTAAGATTATTAAAATATAAAGGAACTAAAAATGCATATAAAAACACTGTTAAATTGATTTACGATATGTTTGACTAAACTAAGCCAATAGCAATATGTTGTATAGATCCAGCAATCGATACGGTTTAGATACGTAAAATAGTTTAGTGCCAGCCAATCAGCTGAAAGGTTAAGGTACTGTTTTGTTATATTTTTGACCTTTTTTCAAGTATCTTCTGTAGAAATAATAGCTGTCTCGTCTACGTAAAACAAAACAGAGCCATGAGACATGGAGATTGAAAAATCATTTATGTACATTATAAACAGCAGTAGACCTAAAATAGTAATTTGCGGAACCCTAATATTTAAGATGCTGAAATCACTTTTGGTTTGTTTTATACTTACTTTTATTTTCAGTTGCTAAAAAAGCCTCATATCCATTCGTGTGATGTACCTCTGATAGCATAGCTATATAACGTTTCTAACTGTATGTTATAATTTACTATATCCCAAACGTATTCTTTGCTGGATCTATAAAAGATATTGCTATTGGCTTACTTTGGTCTAACACATCGTAAATCAATTTAACAGTGTTTTTATATGCACTTTTGGTCCCTTTAAATTTTAGAAATCCAAATTGGTTTCAAGCTAATATTTAGTTTTAAATAAAAAATGTTGAATGTCTGTAATGTCATAATTTTTTTAAATATTTTTGCAAAGTTTGATATTAGTAAAGTTGGTCTGTAGTTCGTAACTTCTTATTTGCTTTTAGACTTGTAAATGGATATTACTTTAGCTTCTTTTAAGGCATTAGGCATTGTTGATTGTGTGATACATAAATCAAATATATAAGTCATAAGATCACATATGTAACTAGGAAGTAATTTCAGTACCTTAGAACTTATTCTATCTATTTCACTAATTGTATGTTTTAGTTCTCATATTGTAGTTTGTACTTCATGTGTGTTAGTAGGAAAAGTGAAAATGGTTTTTTTAGCCACTAATGGTAGACGTCTTATTAAATTTACTGGTTTTGTAATATTATGCAAAAATCTTGACCTCTATTACAGACAAAATATTATTATGTCTTAATAACTATCTTCTCAACATATTCTCATCACATTACCTAGATGTTTACTATTTTTATACTTGTCGAAGTCAACGCGGTGAAGTATATTTTCACATATTGTACACGTTATTGTAGCACACTTAACTTTTACATTACAAAAATCATACTGGTTTGAGGTAATATTTATATTACTATTCTCCTAGGATATTACTGTCAAATTACTTAGATAATAATTATTTTTGTATTCGTTAAAGTGAATACAATGAAGTCTATTTTCACATAATATACATGTAATTTTTTTGCACTTTACTTTTAGATGACAAAAATAAAACGTTTCCTTGCACTTATCTGGAAGTTTGCTTCCTCCACCAAATTAATGAAAAACATTGAAAAACTGACAGTAGTCGAGTATTGGTAAGAAAATCAGAAGTCAATAGACACAATAATTAGAATTGTTTTAAAATATTCTTTCCTATCATTAAACAGTAATTTTTCACTTAGGTTTCGGATATATTTTAATTCACATTAGCGACAAAATATTCAGCTATTTTTTATTTGTTTCTAATACAATAAATTTTTTTTTTTTTTAATTTAGGGTCGAACGGACATTCGTTAATTTTTTTTTTATTTAAATAATTTTTAAAGTATACATTTACATTACCTATTTCTTTACTTACCGTCATAACTGTAGCTTGATGGCAGCGCTATTTGTATGTAGCCTATTATTTCGGGTTCAGTTATTTCTCCATCAGTCTATGAAAAATTCAACTTAACTTCTATATAACTTGAATTAATTAGTTGCAATGATATGGATTTCGTTACGTACAATTTTTCGAATGTCTGCATCATTCTATATGCTGTCTTGCACTCTGATATAAATTCGAGTTGTTCATTTGACACTGCGCTAGTTATTATTGCTCTAGCCTTAAGATCATTTGTTTTC